CCAGAATGTGGAGGCTTCGCAGGGTCTGCGCATCTGAGTCTCCCAGGCCTGCTCGCCGTCCCACACTGTGGGCCCCGGTCTTTCGGTCAGTTTCTGACTTCACTGGATGTTGCTTATCACCATGATGGTCCATTTCCAACCTGCAGACTGGTGTTCTGAGAAGTTCTCAAAGTCTTTGGATTCTTGAGCGTAAAGTGTTGTCAAGGCCCTGGCCCTCCTGGCTGTGTCTACAGCACCGCCAGATGGGAGACGGGGTGCGTTTTATTTCGGCCGCCACTGGCACATGGGGGATAATACAGCTCCAGTGGTGAAGGCACCAGAAATTAGCAGGTCCCCTGACTGTGCAGGCGTCAGGGCAGGGTCCCAGGCTGCGGGCTGTGGTGTGGCCTCTGCACTGTGCACACGGAGCAGGTGAGCTGTAGGCTCCCCCCACACCCCTGCTTTCTTTAGGGCCTTGGAGCCAGGAGCCAGGTAAAGGGCCCCTCAAAGACGGACATATGTGCTCTTGAGTGTGTCACTCTGAAATACTTCCTGGTTTCCTTTCCCATTTTCTCCCAAGTAGTGTCCCTAAATCCTTCCTTCATAGGTTTTGGTTCTGTGCTTAGAGCTCAAAGCTTTTATTTCTAGGAGGAGAGTGCATTGGTGATGACGTTAGAAAAACGCGTTCCTTCACCTTCAGTGCACTCCCATGGTTTTTATTTCTCTTCAGCTTTTTTTTTTTATTGTTTGTTAATCTTCACCTGAGTATATTTTTTCAATTGATTGTTAGAGAGAGTGGAAAGGAGGGAGGGAGAGAGGGAGAGGGAGAGAGAAACATACATGTGAGAGGCACCTTGATTGGTTGCCTCCCACATGTACCCCAACCTGGGCCGGGCATTGAACCTGCAACCCAGGAACGTGCCCTTGACCAGGAATCAACCCACAACCCTTATGCTCTAACCACTTAGGCACACCAGCCAGGGCTCACTTCAACTTTTTAAAAAAGCCTGGTCATGCTCCAGTAAAATTTAAAAACCTGTAATGGATTACTACTTGCAGTTTGTATAGGATAGAAGAGATTGGCAAGGAGTCAGTTTAGCCTGTAAGAGTTACAGATGCAGTTTTCTGTTAAGTAGCATCTGTATCATGGGCCATCACTCCCAGCAGTTGGGGCTCAGGCTTTACTATTTGGCCCTATACTATTGAACTCCATCAGCAGGAGACTGTCAGAGTAGAGCCTGTTTACATTTATGTATTCAGTTTCTCAATCTGTGAATTTCCTGTTTGTATATCCTATAAAATAAAAGGCTAGGCGAGTGACCGGTCACTATGACATGCACTGACCACCAGGGGGCAGATGCTCAATGCAGGAACTGTCCCCTGGTAGTCAGTGTGCTCCCACAGAGGGAGCACCGCTCAGCCAGAAGCCAGGCTCACAGCTGCGCAGTGGTGATGGCGGGAGCCTCTCCTGCCTCTGAGGCAGCGCTAAAGAGCAGTGAGCCGGACATTCCCTGAGGGGTCCTGGACTGCGAGAGGGCACAGGCCAGGCTGAGGCTGCCCCCCCACTGGGGATGGGGTGGGATAGTAGCCGACATACAGACGTCCCACAATACAAAGCTAGATGGATGATATCTACTCACCTTACAAAAATGTGACAAACCAGTATGAGTCATTGGGCACCAATTGAAGCCATTTGCATGTTGTCATACCTTTTCATGTTGCCAGGGCCTTGATAACACTTTACGCTCAAGAATCCAAAGACTTTGAGAACTTCTCAGAACACCACAGTCTGCAGGTTGGAAATGGACCATCATGGTGATAAGCAAAGGGGAAAAGAAACCAGGAAGTACTTCAGAGTGACACACTCCTCTGCCCACCGCCCC